CATACAGATGGAAAATTAATGCAGTGAAATATAAAGCATTTTATTTAAATATCCATTCATTATTTTACAAGCACAGAGAGCCGCATCAGATGGATGGAAGAGCCGCATGCGGCTTCAGAGCCGCGGATTGCCGACCCCTGTGCTAGCCTACTTTATTGTCCCCAGCAATTTTTAAACCCCACTCAAGTGTATGGCTATTGTCCCCAGCAATTCTGACAACAAACTGACGCCCTTGTGTGTGTGTATTCTTTTTTGGATATTTTTTGTGCAATTGTTGGACAAAATGACTTGCTGTGGCATTAATTGCACTAATAGAGCGTCCAAGGAGTCTCCACTTCATTTTTTTCGGTAAGTACAATTATATTTATGTATTTTAGGTCACTGCCGAGCTGAGCTTAGATTTTAACATGTACTGTTTAACCATGAAATTTAAATGTAATAGGGTAAAACCCAGTGCATTTAACATAATGCTGCACTTTAGAAAATAGGTTGAAACATAACATGTTGGTGGAGCTGGGTTCCCACTATCGGCTTGTGGAGCTCTCGGGAGACCGATGTTTTCCACCTGGTTCTCCCCTCCCCGGCAGCTCTGTCTGATTGCGGCTTCTGTGTGCTGCGCGGGCTGACGGCTGGTTCTCCCAGCAGCTCGGCGCATCTCTGTCTGATGCGCAGGCTGACGGCTTGTGGAGCTCTGGGATGGAAACCTTTCCGCCCGGTTCTCCCCAGCGGCAGCTCTGCGCATCTCAGATCGCAGCGGCGCTTGTCTGCTGTGCGGCTGCCAGCTTGTGGAGCTCTCGGAGACCTCTGTGTTCCACCCGGTTTTACCCAGCGCTCAGCCCGGCGTATCTCTGACTCAGAAGCTCTGGTGTTGTGCACAGTTAACTCCGGTTGTAGCTAGGTGGCTACCTCCGTTAGCTTAGCTCCCACCTCCGCATTAGCTTTGGGTTAGCTTCAGGTTAGCTTGTAGCTAGTTCGACCGGGTGTCGTCAGTTGATCCCAGCCTTACAGCCACACCCTCAGCTCCACCTCTCTTCCCTTTTATGGAATTGTCTGGGCTTGACGGAACATGTGACACGGTCAAAATGGCGGTGGTGGCCACCTCCCATTTTAGTACAAAAAATTATTATTGGAGTCTATGGAAACCCATTGTCCACATATGTATGTCGATGAACGTACCAAAATGCCAAGTATTTCATCTAAATGACCAGAAGTAGGGTTAGGGTGACTAGTGTGAGCGACTTGATGCAATCCTCATACTAAGCAAGCACTAACTGTCTGAGGTATTTAAACGAGTCAAATTCTGATTAGTCTGAAGTTTTAAACAGTTTATAAAACTGAGTTCATTTCCTGAACTAACCAGTTCTAAGCCAACTTCCCGGTTTGGCCAACGTGGTAAGCAAAGCACTCGGAACCATCCTCTCTTTTGACCCCAAGGTCAAAGCCTTTGCAAACTTCATCAGATGAAAAATAGATGCCTTCCAGCTTCCTGCCGTCGCCTGAAAGGCATCTCAGAGCAGACGGGTTGTACTCCGAGCAGAACCACGGGCTCCAATACCCCGAGGTCCATGCCACAGGCAGGTTGTCCATACCGACCTCTTGACCCCCTGGATGGCACGAGAACCTTCAACACAAAGGGTTTGTAGATCTGCACACTGGCGTCGGATGGTTTCATGAATAACTGATAGCTTGTTAAACCAGACAGTCAGACTGTTTTTATAACCCAGACATCACAAGATCTCCCAGACACTTAATAAGGTTTTACTACAAAACATCTAAGCTTACATCCATCATTTCATTCATTTATCTCGTCCAACCATCATTCATCATAATGTGTTCTGTGTCACCATTAGTTTATATATATAGAATTAAATTTGTTTTTTTAAACTATATTCTTGACTCTGTCTGAATTATTATGAAGTGTGTGTTTCTCTGGCCTAAGGTGATATTAAATCAAATCTTCAAAGACCAAAAAGGTTAATAATTCATATTTATACAGAATACCACATGTTATTGATCATTCAGTAAAAGTAACCACTTCAATCACGTTACAATATTACAAAACAGAAAAAACTCTTATTAAAATGATTGTCTACTCATTTCATAGAAAACAACCAAAAAAACCTGAAAAAAATTAAATTAAATGAAATCAAGTCAAAGTAAAAACATCAACAAATCTTGAGTAAATATTTAATTTAAAAATCATTAAATGAAACAGGATGAAATTATGAAGTCATGACTGTAATTCAACGATGATTCAGCTGTTAAGGGCCTCGTGTGTGAAATCCATTGAAATCATGATGAAAAAATGTGACTCTTTAGCGCCGTGCAGTTCAGAGAAAGTATTGCTGCTACGGTGGCTCACTCATGAGTTTGACTGTATAATGGATTTCAAACCTGTGTAGCCTAACCAAGCCCCCGTAATACTGGTGTGAAATTGAAGCCAACACGGAAGTGACAAAAACTGCAGTTCCACCCTCATCCACTGGGGGCTGGTGTCAGAAGCGAGCAAATCCTCATTGACTCCCATGTTAAAAATACCAATTTCACCTGTGTCGTCAGTCGATCCCAGCCTTACAGCCCCACCCTCAGCTCCACCTCTCTTCCCTTTTTTGGACTTGTCTGGGCTTGACGGAACCTGTGACACGGTCAAAATGGCGGTGGTGGCCACCTCCCAATTTGGCTTAAAAACGTATTATTTGAGACTATGGACACGCATTGTCCAGTATACTGTATATGTTGACGAGCCTAACCCACACAAAGCTTAAAACTAGCTACTCGACCACTTTGAAGCATTTATAATTATAACTGTTTATCAACCTACCAGTCCTGAAGGAAGCAAGCTAGTTCTGTTAGATCTTGAAGCTGTCACGATTCACACACGGGGGAGGGATGATGTCAGCTGGGAGGTCATGTGTTGTGGGAAATTGTGTTCCCCGAAATATTCTGTCCCCTCGTGTCGGGAGATTGCACTTCTGGCTATTTTCACAACATGTGTGATCAACTTTAACAGTAAAATGATGTAATGTAATGTAATAATGTTGTGCTTGTGAGTTTTATCTATATTTCCTCCTAAAAACAATAAAAAGACAGTAAAAACATTCTTGATCACTCTTTTGCAGCAAGCTTATTTATCATTTAGAAAGTTATGTAAAAGGATGTAATCTCACTCAGTTTAACATCTTTTATTTGAGGTAGTTTAGTCCTCATGATGGACAAGACGTTCTGTGAATTTGGAAATATTTGCTCATGACTGTCCAAGGGAAACAGAATATTTCAGGGGAACATAATTCCCCACAACACCCATTTCACGTGGATCACGGAGCGCACCGCTCACTGTAAACAAACTGGCTGTTGCTACCAGCTTATATGGATGTGGAGCGATCACTGGCTGCTTGTTAGCCACGGCTGATGAAGGAGTGTTGGTGAGTTGGGGACATGCTGGACATCAACTAAACAATGCTGACTTATCCCCCAGCTAATCGTGGCTCACAGCTGGTGTGGTGGAGGTCTGTGTCACGAGCTACCGAGCTACTAGTTAGCCATGGAGCCAGGGAGACGCTGTGTGTTACGGATGCTGGACTCGTGCTCCCTAAAAGGCCCAGCTCTGTCCCCGTTTGTATTCAGGACCTTGGACAGGTCTCCAGTCAGGCTTACTTTTGTAACGGCATGAAGGTTCTCTGATTTGTGCCAAAGGTCACATTTGCCCAGCTGGGTCAAGCTGGAGTCAAACAGTACTTTGAATCCACAGATTAAACCCAAGGAGCCACGATGTCTAGCCAAGATCATAACATCATCTGCTGTTCAGTCCCAGAAGAAGGACACTTCAAGCCACCATGATATTAATTAAATAATAATTAATAAACTTATGATTTTATTGTGGTTTAAATAATCATTAATACATGATCACTTGGTTCAGATATAAAGGTATTTTAATTACATCAAATGGATTATTATGCTTTGGGTATTATAATGATAATTATTATAATGTTTATAAAGATGTGTTCAGCAAAGAAGACCTTCACCCTGTCATCCAACACAGAGTTCAGATAACAATAACTGCAGCACATGTTTTTTGACGCATGACCAAGCTTTCTTCCGGAGAGAGAGGGAGGGGTTCTGAGAGAGTTTGGTAAAAACTAACCGTTACAGATTTCACGTCCAGTTCTTCAACCAACACCACGAGGAAAGGAGAGCGGCCGTCTCCTTGACCCTCTGCAAGCTATTCTGTCACGCCGACAAGAATGGCTAAAGAACAAACGAACCGTAAACCAGCTAACACACGACTCTCCCAGAGTCATTTGATTTCTGAAGTTAAGTTAAAAGACGTAACGTGCATCTGCCAAACGCTTCATACAGCCGTGTCCCCAGGACATCTCTGGACCGGACGATCTGACACTTGCGTCTATTCTGCCAGCCAAAGTGTCAGCTTGGATGAACCCATCCTACTGACGTCCGGATCCACAAAGGGGGTCCTGTTTGGGTGAGGTAGAACACGAAAGATGACGTTTGATGCTGTTTTCTCTAAAAATAACTCAATTATCATTTCATCCAGAACACCTTTCATTCCCTCTGAAAGAAACTTTCTGAGAACTGCATTCACGCATTCAAAACTCATCATTGTCAATTTTAGCTCCATCCAACACGGGTTTGCTTTTAAACAAGTAATATCAAAGCTGTTAAGGATTGTTATTAAAATTGCCATCCATGAATTCTCATTTTTATAATTGTTGCTTCAAATCTTTAGTTTAAAATTGTTAGTAAATAAATTTCTTCATTTTTTAAACTTGACTCATTATTGAAACGAAGCACAGAAAAGGGTTGCATTTCCAGTTTATCGAATGAAAAGAATCTTACTGAATCTTCTGTTTAATAAATAAACTTTGATATTAATTTAAATCTTAAATTTCACACCACAACACTTTCCACCTCAGCCTGTGTTCAGCAGCCTGTGTTCAGCACCCCAGCTGCAAGCCATCAGCTGATGAGAACTGATGGCTTAAGAGACAGCAGCTGTCAGTTCTCTAGGAAAGAACCACACATTCACACACTGTCCTTCTCTCCTCGGTCCTTGGATCCTTGTAGCAACCAGTTTCGTATTTGGATAAGAACTTTGATATACTCGGTGATGAAGATAAATAGTTCTTTTAGTTAAAACCTTTTGTATAATAGCTGTTTACGTTTTCCATTTGTCTGCTTTTAAAGTTTGGATTTCTGTTTTGTATTTTCAGCTTTAGAGCTCCGTTTTACTTTTGGTATTTATAGCAGTAAGTTAGCCGTCGAGATTTGTTTTAATTATTTAGCTCCGGCGTTTTCGCTGGTTAGAGCTTGTAACACTGTGTATGATGTGTGTAAACTCCCACGGATTACCAGCAAAAGGAGACCCAAGTCTAAAGGTAACGTTTGAGAAGAAGCCCTCTGAGTCGGAGAGTCTCAGTAACCCGTGGAGAACTACATCGCTGTTAGTAAAGTGTTGTGGAGATAAAGTAAACAACGCTGATCTAGCCACTGGCTAGCGGACGAGCGTGTTGGGAGACAGCAGCCTGCAGGAAGAGAGGAGACTTGAGTAGAAGTACTTTGGAAAGGACACGTTGGGACTGGATCGGGAGTTCTGGCACTAGGAAAAGACGGATGAACATCTTGAGGTGAGGTTGGGAGTCAGAGACACTAATCGGAGGCTGGCGTCCCGATAATATCGGGCGGGGTCTGAACGTATGCAGCTTCCTTGTGTTGGACATGATGACAAACTGACAAAATTTGTGTCTTTTGATTTAATTGTTTGTTATTCAAACTAACAAGTACAGCAACAGTGTAGCTATTCTTTTCTATTTCTTAGTTAAATTAGCAGACTTCATGCTTCCAGGGCGCACTGCTGCCCTCTGCTGGTTCTTTCTGGTTACAGCCACAGTCCAAACGGGTAACGTGGAGCTCGTATGTCCCTCAACAGCTACTGTATTTTAAGATGGATGACCATGGAGAGTCGACCACAGTTTATGTATTTGAAATGTATTATTTCAAACTGAGAGGAATATTGATGTTGGTGAGAAATATTAGTGAAAAAGGACAAGTTTGTGAACTGGAAACACAGGATTTGACAGTAAACTGGTAACAATATCACACACTGGGGCTTTAAAGTTTCCTTGTTGAACTAATTCAGTAAATCAGGAGAATATTTATTTTATTTCTGGTTCCCTTCCAGAAGATTTTCCTCCTCATTACAGTTTGTTCCCCAGTAACTTTTTATTATTTCCTATGTTTCACAGGAACTACGGCTCATCCTTTCTGAGTTACTATGGAAACAAATCACATTTTTCATTTTTCAGAGGCAGAAAACAACAGCTGCGCTCTAAAACAACTGTCACGGGCTGACAGTTACTATTAACCAGCGGAGGAGAAGCACCTCCGTTCTACTGCTGCTTTGTTCAGACGATTTCATCTGAGAACGGCTCGGTGGAGAAGCAATCTGCCGTATCTTATTAGGTGAGATCATAACTAGCAGGCATCCAGAAACCGATTGAGTGGTTTACGGGAGATGAAGTCTTTTAATTATTTGTTTGTGCTGTGAGATGAAGCTCAGGCGGAAAGCAGCTTCTCTCTTTAAGCAACACAAACAAAAATATGATCAAATATAAAGGAAGCCTTTCCCCTGAAAAATTACTTGTTTACAATCAAATAGAAGTGGTGGTGCCCCCAAGTGGACACCTGAGTGTAATGTAACACTTTATTAACGTGAAGTTAAACATGAATCAGCTGATCAGATGATGTATTAACAGATAATCCTCTGTGTCCTTCTGCTCTGCAGTATACAAGCGGGTGTTAACACTTAGGAGAAGCTGCTGCCGGTGCTGTTCCATCTGGGAAGGGTCAAAGGTCAACCAGAGCTCATCATTCTACAGATAAAATCACAAAACCATTAAGAACACTGCCAATATTCAAAGCTATGAACCTCCCAGCAGGGTCACCCTGAGGTCCGCTAAAGTCTGGAACAAACCAGGTCATGAAACAGAACCATGATCCAGACCCAGCAGGATCAAGGTTCAGTCAGGGTCCAAACCAGAACCTGGCTGAGATGCTGTGGTGGGACCTTCAGACAGCTGAATGTCAGCAAACCTAAAGCAGAGTGGACCAGATACCGTCCAGAACCGATTGAGAAACTGTCAGACAGAACCTGAGTCACATCTGCTGAAGGAGGTTCTGTTGGATCTCGTTTCAGGACCCAGAAGAACCTAATGTTTCCGTTCTCAATAATTTGGTAAAAGCCGGATAATTTTTATTTTTCCTGATGAATAAATAATTTGTTTAACAAACTAAAAATAAAACTGGCTCAAACTGGATAAGTCAGCTGGTCAGCAGGGGGCAGAGCCCTCCTGAAGGAGGATCTGATTAAAGTCCCTCTAAGATCTGTACAATCAGCCACAAACCCGATGTCAGACACACAAAACTCTGCAGGTTCCACGCTGCCGAACACAAACCAGGTGTAAGTGTCTGCTAGGATCACACACCTGCTTTGTTTATGATCAAATCTATAAGATTAATCATATCCCAAAGGTAAATGGGTGTAACACACACACACACACACACGTCTTTCTATCATAGTGAGGACCCTCCATTGACTTCCATTCATTTTTATGATTTCATCATGCCTAACCCATAACCAGCGCTGATCTATTCTTAACCTTAACTAAAACTGAATTCACACCATACCTCAAACTGGATAGAAAGCTTCTGGTATGCTTCTAAAAAAATGAGGACCAAAAAATGTACACACACACACACACACACACACACACAGAGTCCAGGATTCTGTTGCTCCGGGCAGAATTTCCTGACCCAGATTCCAGAACTGCTGTAACTAAGCGTGTCCATGCAGACAGGCAGCCATGAGACAGACGGACCGAGACCCGTGAACCGGTACCCTGGGTGGAACCTGGACTTGGACCGCCCGGATGGAATCACCACGTCACAGCAACGCTGCCTCTGATCCTTAAACTTTAACGTCTTTTAGGCTCCGTTTGAAGACGAGTCTCACTGACAGAAAATCCCCTCTGACCGCCTCACCTCCACTCAGGCGCAGATTCCGATTTACTTTAAATATAAACTAACATTACTCATTTACATGATGTTAGTCTGGGATTATCCAGCATTTCTTCACATTCTAATTCTGTCTGCACACAACTATCCATGAGGGGCAACACTTCCCAAATAATGAAGGGAAATAAATTATCATAATTACAGTTTTATTCTGCAGAGCCCAGATTTTAACGGCAGATGAAAATAATGAGTTGGTTTTGTGGGATGTGTTGGCGTGACCCACTTTGGATCTTTAATTAGTCAGTTTCTGAATGATGTTGCTTTTGTTAATGATTCAACCTTAGTTTCTGGGGGGGTTCAGCTTCAGACAGCAGGAAAACCACAACAGGTCGGAGTTTTATGAGCAGCAAAAGATTATTTTAATCCATGATGGAAAGCGCTGCTCTTAATTAATACCCCAGAACCAGTGAAAGAAGTTCCTGAAGTTGAAACCTAAAGAGCCTCCTCACCACACCCACATGTGGGAGAAACAGATTCTGAGGTGGGATCCAGGAGGAAAGCTCAGACCTCCAGGAGGATCCCAAGGTGTTCCCAGACCAGAGAGGGCATGTAATCCCACCTGAAAAACCTCCAGATTATCTCCTTCCCCACATCAGACCAGATGTTGCTGCAGATAAAGTCCTGATCTAAAGTCCACTAAGATCCCAGAACCCCTCTCATAACAGAATCTGGGAATTGTCTGAGTTTATTCTCTTTGTGGAAAAACAGGAGACGACTTTGGGAGGATCCGGAGACCAAAGCAGGGAATGAAATTGGATGTGATTAAGTCATTTTGTGACTAAATTTCATTTTTCTGCAGTTGCACTGCCTGTCCCAACGAACCAGGCTGGATGGATAGACTCTGAATAAAAATGTTTTAGTTTTATTTCTGAAGGTTTTTTCTCCAACTAGTTTCTAACAGTCAGCCGGAGAGGTCTTCGATGAAGATGATGGGGGGGGGGGGGGGTGGGGGGGGGGTCCAGCAGGACAAAGAAAGTCAAGTGAGCTACAAGATGGAGGCGTTGTGAAACATCTGGGTTCAGAGCAGAGCATGTTTATATCCTCAGATTACAAAGAGATGAAACAAGAAAATCCTGCATATATGAGTAAAACTAGATCCAGATGTTTCACCTCTGACCTGAACTTATTTTGTTGTGACATTAATTCTCCATCTTGTCTCCGATTGTCCTCGCTAGGACGCGGTTAGGACCTGGAGAACTTAGAACAAGATACACTTCTGTGTTTTCCTCCTTCCTTTTGCTCCAAAAACTTCTTTAGGCCAAACGAAGAAGCAGCAGATAGAATCTCTTCAGATGAAACCTTCTTCACAAGAAGAAACAGCAAATAAAGGCTCGTTGCCATCACAGCAGATCCATAAGGTGTAGGAAGCTCCCAAACCACTGGGAGCCGGATAACTTCGTCTATCTGAGAACAAGAGCCAGGTTGATTTCTCTCCATCAGCCTTTCAGCACCAGCTCCAGACCTATTGTTGCCTTTCAGACACAGAGAAGACAAAGAGATGCCTCCTGCTGTCAGAAGCTGTGAAACATTCCAGCATCTTCTGGCTGAGTTTTGAGTCAACAGCGTTCCAGGAACAGATTTACTGATGTTTCTCCTCTGCTCTCCACTGTGTTCCAGTCATGTTTGTGGACCGCATGTGTGCAGGATTGTGTTTGATGAACTTGGGAGAGATCTCACAGCTGAATGAGCCCAAACCCCCCGCTGGGACCGAGGCAACGAGAGCCCAACATCTGTCCAGCGGTGGGGATTGGCTAGCTCCTCTCAGGTGGGTCCTGATGCATCGTGGGGATTCTTGTTCCACTGATTTGTTTCTGTGTGCTGATTCTTGACACGCGTTTGGTTTAATTGTCTCTCCGTCCTCCAGTGGCTGCAGAACGAGGGACTGAGCTGGCTCCAGAACATCAGAGTGGTTTTGAATAGAAACCTAGAACATCTGCATGGCAGCGCAGTTGTTAGCACTGTTGCTTCACATCAACAAGGTTGCAGGTTCAAAACCCGACTGCAGGCTTTCTGCGTGGAGTTGCATGTTCTCCCCATGCATGCATGGGTACTCCGGTTTCCCCCACAGATCACAACACTCCCTACAGGTTAACACGTGTGCGTCGCTTTGGATAAAAGCGTCTGCCACATAAATGAACACAGAACAACCACCATCTGCTGTCTGTTCTGGAGGAACTTTGGTTTATTTAAAGTATTTCAGCTGCTAAAACTGTCAGAATCCTGCAGTTTCATCACATGATTTAAAAATAAAAAGGAAACTCATGTTCCTGTTTTTAGTCAATAAAAGTCCAACAATGGAGTCAAATCAGGAAAATGCATTCCAGAGTCAGATAACTTTCTGAATAACATTTTTCTACAAAAACTGTTAATTTTAGCTGACCAAACTAAAGACATGAACATGTTTGTTAAGTTTGTGTCAGCCATCTTTAATCAGCTGATCCAGAGGTTTGATTCCGTATCCATCTGGTGGATCCTGAGGTCAGTTACTGGAGACCAACCCACGGAGGCAAAAACGTTGGTTACATTTTGTAACCCCAGATTCTATGAGTATGGCGGAGCCCTTTAAGCCTCGCCTATTGGGGAGTTAGTCCTTGACAACAACCAATGACTGAAGAGCTTTAATGTACGCCCGCCCATCAGGTGGGCCCTGGTCCTATAAGAGAAGTGCGAGTACCACGGATCATCTCCAAAAGTTCAAAGAACCCCTGAACCAGTGGGCTTCGATGCTTGAAAGGCTCCACCATACTCATAGAATCTGGGGATGCAAAACGTAACCAATGCTCTATGTCGTATGGCTCCGCCCATTAAGCCTCTCCTATTAGGTTAAAGGCGGAGCATGATGTAGTAAACGCCCACTGGTTAAGTAACAAGGAATAAGTGAGCACACGTAACGTCCTTACACAGCTGCCGGCGGGTGTAAGACAAGGATGAGCAGCTGTAAGGATAAGACGCCGTGTCAAGGGGGGAGGGACGGGTCGCCCATGTGGCCTGGTAATGAGCCAGGGAGCAATGGGATTATATGAAGGAACACCAACACCGGAATACAATGGGTGGAGAACAGCAGGGATTAATTGAGGAGAGACTCATTAACACATCCCTGATAACACCAAAGATCACTGGGTGTGAACATCAGCTGCTAAGGATAGCATGTGAGAACAGCAGGGGATACTGGAGAAACAACTCATTAACATACCCCTGACAATTGTAGCCTCATGCAGAGAGAGGGAGGCAGATGCTGAGCTGATGACATTAACAGAGAGAAATCAGACTGACACATTACCAAGCACTGCGCTGGAAGCAGAGGTGCTGGACATGTCTTTCAGGTAGAACCTCACGAAGGAGCAGGGTGAAGCCCATGAAGCTGCTAAACAAATGTCAGAGACAGACGGTCCCCCTTGGAGTGCCACAGAAGAAGATGCACTTCTTGTCGAGTGAGCCTTCAACTTTTCTGGTGGTTCCAACCCTGAAGAGACATCTGTGAGCGAGATGGCGTCATATCCAGTGAGACAGGCGCTGTGAAGACAGGGACTGTCCATGGGAGTTATCCCTATAATGTACAAACAGGTGATCCGAGCGGCGAAAGGCGGCGGTGCGGGAGACATAGCGTCTGAGAGTGCGCACTGGGCACAGCAGATGAGATGCCGCCTCCTTCTCCGAACTGTGAGGAGGGGGGAAGGACCCATCCAGTGTAATGGATCTGGATCTGAAGGAACTGGTAAGGCTCTTAGAGTAAACGCTGGGTTGGGGCACAAAACAGCCGAACCCCCGTCATCACGAATCCTGAGGCAGGTTGGGGCCACAGACAGAGCAGCCAGGTTGCTCACTCTCTTAAATGAAGTCAGAACCAGCAAAAGGGCTGTTTTAAGAGATCAAATTTTCAGCGAGACCTGATTCAGCGGTTCAAATGGGGCCAACGCCAGTCCGTGTAAGACCACTACCAGGTCCCACTGAGGGACTAGTGAACGCTGCACAGGTCTGAGGCGTCTCAAGCCTTTCAGAAAGCGTTTGGTAAGGGGGTGGCTGAAAACAGACCTATCCCCGAACCCTTGGTGACATGAAGAAACAGCAGCCGCATATGACTTAACAGTGCTGAAAGCCAGACCCTTGTTCATCAGCATCTGTAAAAATGACAACACGCTGGCCAAAGGGCACGGCAGCGGGTCCACATGCTGTTCCTGGCACCAACGCTGGAAGGCAGCCCACTTAGCAGAGTAAGATGCTACAGTGGAGGGGGCGCCAGAAGTTTGAATGGTTCGGACCACATCAGAAGTCAGGCCTGATGCTTCTAGACGAGACCGTTCAGCGGCCAAACCCACAGGTGCTGACCCAGAACAGGGTGGCGTGTTATCTTCCCTCCCACCTGCAGGAGCGCGTCTTCCTTCCAGGGGCGTGCAGCCAACAGTGGCTGCAAATCTGGAAACCAGGACGCTGAGCTGTGATGGGGAGCCACCAAAATCACTGAGAGCCTTTCCGATCTGATCCGGTCCAGGAGCCGGGGGATCAGAGGGATTGGAGAAACTGTGTAAAGAAAAAGTCTGGGCCAGGGTTTGTGAGCGAAGGCGTGGACGATCTCACGGTCTAAAAGAAAACCAAGGGGGGCATTGAGCGGTCTCGTGAGATGCAAACAGGTCCACGGCCGCCTTTACAAACCTGGTCCAGATCTGAGAGATCAGGTCGGGATGGAGACGTCACTCTGAGTGACGTGGACCCCCTCTGGACATGATATCCGCACCCACATTCAGGATTCCCGGAATGCAGACAGCTCTGACTGACAGGAGGTTGACATGAGCCCAGCACAGCAACTTCCTGGCCACGTTCAGGAGTGAGAGTGAGCGAGTCCCGCCCTGACGATTTATGTAAGCCGTGGCGACTTGGTTGTCTGTGTGAATCAGTACATGTTGGCCGCGGAGGAGGGGGGCAAAATGTAATATCACATTCTGCACCGACATGAGTTCCAGAATGTTTATGTGGGATCCGTGTGGGCGGACCACTGATTGTCCACAGAATGGAATAAGCACGTTCCCCCTCACCCCGACAGGGATGCATCCGTGAACACAGACATGTGTGACGTCACTTGCCCGAGAGGAACACCATGCAGCAGGGTCTCGGAAGAGCTTCACCACTATCAGAGCGTTGAAAAGAGACGGATAGAGGATCGGTCTGGAGCCACCAGTTTTCTTTGGCACCAGGAAATAACGGGAATAGAATCCCAAGTTCTCCTCCCCTGGTGGAACCCTGGAGATGGCCTCCTTTGGCAGGAGTTCCCTCAACTCCGCCTCGAGGGCGGAGGCTTGAGAGGCTCATGTCAGTTTTGCCTCCACAATCCCAGAGAACGGGGGTGGGCGGGAATAAAACTGCAGCTTGTAGACATTGTAAAAGATCCTGAATCCATTTGTTCATGTGACTCGCACGGCTCCAATCTTGGGCGCGTTCTGACAGCGCCTGGGCCTGCATTGCATCTAAAATCCAGGTTCGGGCCCCTGCCACTGTCTCCTGGCCCGAGAAAATATCGGGGGCGACCCATGGGGGGCCGGTGGGGAAAGGGCAGGCAGCTTTTTTTGTAATGTAGAAGTGGCCCAGAGAGCGAATGAGGGAAAGGCTCCGAAGTGCGCGCCAAGGAGTGGAAATCAGAAACGACAGCTCGCTTTGGTGGCCGCAGTGAATGTAAAGAAGCCTCATCGGTGGCAGAGAGGTCAGCTGATCTCTGAGCCCTCTCGACAGCATCGCGGAAGTGGGATCCAAACAGCACGTCCGAGCTGATTGGTCCCTCCAGCATATCCTTGTTCAGCTGATCCGGGATGGATGGCAGGGCACCAAGCCACAGGAGCCGATGGATCAAAGTCTTCCAGGCGGAGATGAGGGCTGCATAGACCAGATTGGCAGCACACAGATTTAAAATGGCATCAGCCGATTTCCACATGAGGTTCTTAGGCTCATCAGGCAGGTCACACGTCTCCGCCGACTTGGAGATGCCGTAGGCGATTAGGGCAATGTTGTTTGAGGCCACGCCAGTCTGTGCTGCACACTGATGAGAGCGGTCAGCGAACCGAGCCAGGTGCTGCTTGTTTTTGGTGGCGAGAAACGCACGCCGGCCTACCATCTTGACCTTGGCTCCGAGCAGAGAAGCCAAGTCGGGTTCCAAGGGTGGGACAGCCGGAAAGCTATGTTCAGAAAGGTGCTCCATGTCATGAGTCGGGGTGAGTACTCCCGTCGCACATTCCATCTTTGAGTTGTTTTTCAGGAGAGGGAGGCGCCCAGCTGCTTCAGGTTAGCAATCAACGGCACTGGCTTCTTAAGGAGTTGGAGAACACACCTCGACGTGGGATGATTACTACTACCCGGTAGATTCCAGCCTCATAGTGCTTTGTTTTCTTGAGCCTCAGGTGATTCTTCTGGATTTATATGCTTTGTGTTTTTTATGCTCACACCTGCTTCAGGAATTTTGGAGAATCTCTGTTGAGGGAACTCTTCTGGATTCTCTAAACTCATCAGGATACTCACCACCTCTACATAACCTTCTGGATGCAGCTCCCCAGTGTTCTCCATCTCTCCAGTTGCTCCACTCTGCTTCCCCCACGCTCCCTCTCCTGGATTTACTCACCTCGACTCACCCAACTCTCGACCTGCCCCTCCCTATTCCTCCTCATCTCCTTTGCCCAGTAAGTCTTTTCTCTGCTCCTCCCTCGGTTAAGACTTACTTCTCAGGACTCACCTTATTTTTGCTCTCCCCTCCTCAGACGCTGCGTACGCACTTTTCTCCATCCACTGGAAGTTCCAGTACGCTTTTTGTTCCCTTTTATAAATAAACTCCTTATTTTGATTATTATTACCTGTGAGTGTGTTGATTCTGCATGTCCTGGGTTGAACTCCTTCCCCAGACCATGTCACTCCACCTTGGTGATGGACGTGTAAGAAGAGACAGGAGCCCTGAGCCGCGCGGGCTCCGCCTTTGAGCCATTCCAGTAGTCCATAGCTGCCGGGAACTGAGGAAAAACTGGGTCGAAGCAGCGGGCTAAGTTCGCGCCAAACCGGCCCGCTAAGTCGTCCGACTTAGGAGGGGCGGGAGTGGGGACAGTTAACCCTTTGTAGTCCGCCGCCGCTGAAATAATGGCGGGCAGCTCATGGAGCAGCGCTCAGATGGCAGGGAGCGGTGGAGAGGTAGCCAGCAGGACTGGGTTTGGGTCCCGTTCGTGAGCCCCGTAGTCCGCAGCCTCCGGGGATATTTAAGAGGATCCCACGCAGCTGAACCGCTCCGTGTCAGAGCAGCCAGCCAGCACAGGATCAGACGGGTCCTGACGAGCGTCAAAAATGTCCATGGCCTCTTCCAGTGGGACAGTATCGGCCGTTGAGGAAACGTCCTCGGAGATGGCGGTGAAATAGTCCACACATTGTAGCTTCTCAACCGCCGGGAGGAGCTCGTAGAAGTGGCACCCTGCTTGAGGTGTAAGGGCGAGGCCGACGTGTTTGGGGCCGAGGCAGATGTCGCATCTGGCGTGGAGGTTGCCGGGCATCATGTAGGCGGCATTGCAGGACTGGCATAGACAGATAGCTTCACTCGTCATGATGGTTGATCTTCTAGGTTAACTCTAGTGGTCAGGTCTGTTGAAGAACTGAAAGGAGATGATCCTTGGTCTTCACACCTCTCTTATAGGATCATGGCCCACCTGATGGGCGGGCGTACATTAAAGCTCTTCAGTCATTGGTCGTTGTCAAGGACTAACTCCCCAATAGGTGAGGCTTAAAGGGCGGAGCCATACGACATAGAACATCATTGCCTTCCATTTTTCCTAATTGTTAGAGATGATATTTAGTTTCATGTATCTGAACGCATAAAAACTAACAGCTACATTTCAGTATAAAATCTAATATCTAAAACCTTTAATGATCAATTTTTTACAAAAACATCTGGAATCAAATCTAAATATCTGAAGCTAATATTTAGCAAATATGTGAGTATTTGACTGATTTTTAGAATTAAACTCACAAAAAGAAGTTAAATACAAATATTTAAAAATCAAACTAAATGTTTTAAATGAGTCTAGATATATTATGACAAACCTAAGCTTTTAAACTTAAATCATGCATTTGGGGCAGCAGTAGCTCAGGTGGTAGAGCAGGTTTCCTCATGATTGGAGGGTCATGGGTGCGATTCCAGCTCCTGCCAGGGGTATCCTGCTGTTGTGTCCTTGGGCAAGACACTTCACCCAACTTGCCTGTGTTAGTGGTGGTCAGAGGGGCCGACGGCGCCAAATGGCAGCCTCGCCTCTGTCAGACCTCCCCAGGGCGGCTGTGGCTACAAGTAGCTTACCATCACTAGCAGTGTGTGAATGTGAGAGTGTGTGAAAGCGTCTTTGGGTGTCTAGAAAAGCACTATATAAGTTCAATGCATTATTATTATCAGTATTATTATTATTATTATTAAATCTAAATATTTAATTGTAAAAATGAATATTTTGAATCAATTTAAATAATCTGAGGTCAATCTAAAGTTTACATGTATGAAGTAAAACTTTTGAAACTAATCTAAATATGTTCATTCTAAGACAGATAAATGTTCACTTATTTAGATGGAAATCTCCACACTGACATTTAGCAACATTCAAGTGGAGATGACAGTAAATATTCCTGGTAATCAACTAGACATATTTTGATTTGCCAGAAAATCATGGAGGAAAATAGCTTCACATCCTGTTTTTATTGCTGTGTAAAGCTAAATGTGACTAAATGTTTTTCCAAAGGCAACTGGACTTCTTTGTTTTGTTTTGAAGACATTTCGCTTCTCATCTCTCTGACAAATGTTCCTAAGAGTGGATGCTCCATGTCGTTTCTTCTTTGATGCAACTTCATCTTTTCCTGTTTAGAAATTAAATCTTAATCTTAATATTTGTTAGGAATTCGTTTAGTGAATATCCTCTGATCCCAATGGGAAAACCATCCTGCAGCTCAAAACTTCTCTAAAAGACATCTGGAGAAGCTCCAGCTGATCCTTCATCCATGTGAGGAATGAGATGATGATGAAGACGAGCAGCAGCCTACCTTGTCCTCCACGGAGAACCTCCGGGTGTGCTGCGCTGCTCCCGCACTCTGGTTCATATTCCAGCACCGCCGACAGCTCCAGTTTGGATCAAACAAAAGGAATCCAAACCAAAGTTCAATTCCGTAGGTCTCACACCGCAGCTGGGACTCTGAATCCCGGAGGAGTTAAAGCGGCCGGAGCTCTTTATCCGTCCTCTCTGAGGCACGCGCGCGTTTTTGTCAGCCAATGATGCGCTTAGACTGTTCAGCTTGTACACGCACGCGGACGCACTAATCCGTGACTAAATGCTTCTGTTTGTCTGTTTCACTGTTTCCACTCGAGTTTTTTGTTGATAAAATCAAATCTTTTAATCCCAGGAGGTGGGGGGGGGGGGGGGGGGGGGGTGTCATCGAGGGAGTGAGACAGAGAGAGAGGTAGAGAGGGAGGAAAAGAGAGGACGAGAGAGAGGAGAGGAGAGAGGAATTAAGAAAGGGAGCGTAAGTGAGAGAGGGAGATAAAGAGGGAAAGGGAAAGAGAGAGTCAGAGACACAGAGAGAGGACAAGAGAGAGAATTTATTTAACCTGAGAATAGTTGATAAAAGCAAGAATAATTCGAATAAATAGTGGGTAACTGTGCAGTTTAAACAACTCACTAGTAGTTTAAATATGGAAGAGAGGGTAGTGGAGGCTTTAACACTAGAAATCCCAATGCAGTCATTTTGACTGCTTTCACATTTTGATATGTAATAACTTTAGTTAGATGATCTCATGTTGTCCTGGCTTTTCCTATATTTGCGTGTTCTTCATTTTTCAGTTATAATTTCCATATCCCATACTTTACATATTCCATAATGTATCAAAAAGAAATGTAGTTTTTTTATTTTTCTCCCACAAGCCGTCATTTTGAGGCTCTATTATTTACATGGTAAAGTTTTCCCGCGGGTGACGGACTAAGCAACCGACTTTCCAGCTCCCGTGTGCTCACTCTGTTCAAAACTCCGTGTGGAATAGCTGCTAAAACAGGGAAACAAGCATGGGAAAGTAAGCTGCTTCAGGCGGAGAGGGAATGCTGAGCAACGCGGAAGACCATCTCCGACCCCCCGACCCCACCCACGAAAAGGATCCGTGTCGGTCACCCAGCGAACAATAGAGATACCTCTTTTACAGGTTTGGATTGGAATTGTATCTTCTTACCATATTATTAGGTTTACTCATCCATAAAGAGTTAATTAATAACGCACTCGAACCGTTTTGCTCCACATCATCATCAGCTGGCATTTAATGACCAAATGACAGCCGTCAAACTGACGATTCCTGGGAGCTCCAGTGTGAATAGGGCTTAGGATCGCACGCGATTATGCATTCTGGGTTGCCCATGTTTCTGGAGTGTAAAACTGTACATGGCAGAGAAGAAGCAGATTTGGGAGAAGGGACATCATAAACATGTCAAAATCCCCAAAAGGAAGCAGAATATGTCAGGGACACATTAAATAGGGAAGCTAGGGACCAGTTCATGGACAAGATCAGCATTATAAGCGCTTTGGATCCAAATGAAAGACCTAAGAATGGAGCACCCACGACAACTTGTTGCCGCTGCAGTTCTGCGTAATTAACATTTTCAGCTATCTTGTTTGAGGTGTGAGCAGATGTGATCTTCCTGATGAGAGGTTAATGTTTCATTTGCTGATTTTTCTAGTAAAACAACCAAAATTGCCATCCCATTGAATAAGTTAGAAGAAGTAATTTACCAGAATGAAAATGCAGAGATTACACTCTCACACAAGGACTGAGATACTCCAGAAGGTGATGTTGGGTCTACTTCCAGCTGCGATCAGAGCGAGCCGACGAGACTTTGTTATGTCAAATATCTGGTCTCCGTGGTTGTGCCTCCAAGCAGGAAAGCAGTGAAGTTAACCCATTTTCCATGTTTTTTCCAAGCATTTGTTGCGTTGTTTCACCTCACAACACAGCAATGATTTACCCTGGTTGAATAATAACCCATCAACTGAAACTGAACTCAATGAAGCCACAAGACCAAGGCTGAGCGCACTGTCTGAAGTAACAAGCAACACGTAAGGACTCGGAGGCTGCCAACATGGCGGCTGTGTCGGTGATGACGATATGATTCCAACACCTATTCTTGCCAGCTCTAGGTGCCCCCCCCCCGGTTCATTGTTTGTACCCCTTGTGCCTCCGGCTCCACCCCTGTCTGTATGGTGGAACAAAAAATATTTGGCAACCATCAACTGTGCAAGTCATCGCATTTAAGAAGATGAGAGGTCTGTAACTTTCATCATAGGTGAAAATGACGCGACGTCATTTTAAATAGATGTCGTTTAAATAGAAGCCATTATACTTTATGAGGGTGGGCCCATGGGGAGCGCCACACCGCATCCCAGAAGCGCTGCGCCGCTGAAGATAGGTGCCGGTTCTATCTCAAGCGCCGGCACAAACTCAGCCGCAGTTTTGCTAACTTTTACTCTCTCAGGCTCAAAATAAGTTTTGATAAAAGGACGAACAACTAAGTCCTTCAGGGGGATTTCTGAGTTAAAAAATGCTCATGAAATACGTACGTGGAGTAACCAGGTAGGTAGGTTTTAACATTGCAAATCTGGAACTCCTGCCTCCAGAGGGTTAAAGTAGTATCCATCTTAAGACATTTTAATGAATAGCGTACTTACCCACTGCTAATAAATTAGTCTCACAAAACACGACGACAAGTCTCATCACGTATAAACAAAAATAATAATAATACATTTAAAAGCGCCTTTCAGGACACCCAAGGTCACTTGACAGGAAAAATACATTCAGTAAAAAACATTAAAACAACAATAAAACACAATGAAGAAAAGAACATAGAAAAATAAATAAAAACATTCATATAACATCAGAGGTCATAGGCAGATTTGAACAGTTGTGTCTTGAGTCTGGATTTGAAGAGGGTGAAACTGTCAATATTTCTGATGTCTGGGGGGAGTGAGTTCCAGAGACGGGGAGGAGAGTGGCTGAAAGCTCTGCTCCCCATGGTAGTGAGACGGGCAGAAGGAATAGGAAGATGGAGGGAGGAAAATGATCTGAGGGAACGGGAGGGGGTGGTAATACTTATAAGGTCTGAAATATATGGAGGAGAGAGGTTGTGGATGGCTTTGAAGGTATGGAGGAGAATCTTGAAGATGGACCTTAATTTAACTGGAAGCCAGTGAAGCTGCTGGAGAACCGGGGTGATGTGGTGAAAGGAAGGATTCTGGTGATAATACGGGGCAGCTGAGTTCTGGACCAGTTTAAGTTTATGAAGGAGTTTGTAGGTGAGACCTAAAACAAGTGAACTGCAGTAATCGAGACGGGAGGTGACGAGACTGTGGACAAGAATGGCGGCAGTGTGAGGGGTAAGGGAGGGGCGGAGACGGTTTATGGATCGAAGATGGAAATAGGCTGACCGAGTCATGTTATTGATGTGAGCATGAAAAGAAAGTGAGCTGTAGAGGATGTAGCGTTGACAATCTACATACTAGGATTTAACGCTGTTTGCTATCAGCTTTGTTAGATCCTGAGAAAGATCAACAAATTAGCATATGAAGCTTATATCATGTATACATTTCCAGGATATTTATACAATCGATAGAAGTTCATACACCAACTGTCTTGGTCTATATTTAATCCAAAGATTAATATTTAATTTAAGAAATTTAATTAATAGCAAAAGTTTATTTATTAAACAGAAGACTTAATGGAACCGTTGCTTATTCAATAACCAAATATACACCACTCTGTGTTTCATTTCAAAGAAGGGTCAGGTTTAAAAAGTTAAGAATTTATTACTAACAATTTAAAGATGACAATTTAAAAATGACAATTTATAACAGCTTTGATAATAAAACTTGGTATTATAACCAACCTGTGTCTGGATGAAAACTAAAGTGGAATGCGTGTGTTGGATGCGTGGATGGAATCTCAGAAGGTTTCTTTCAGAGAGAGATAACGCGCTCTGGGTGAAAGAGTTGATTTGCAGCTAACTAAGTTGTTTCTTAGAGAGAACAGCATCGGACACAACCTGTGTTCTACCTCACCCAGTTAGACGACCCTCTGTGTGGATCCGGAGGTCAAAGGGAGGATGTTGTCAGCCTCTGGGTACTCGGTCCGGTAGGGGAGACCCGAGTGGTACCGACTCTCTGGTCCAAGAGTTGCCGCAGGGTACACAGGTGTTGAGCTTGTAATAAACAGTGAAAAGAGTTCATTAAAAATAATTATTTTAAACCTTGAAGTGTCCTTCATCTTGGGCTGGAACAGCCGACAGATAAACGGCAGTCAGATTAAAGATGGTTTAGCAGACTTTACATCGCCTGTGATGGATAATTTGTGGACAAAGTACAGCTCGACCCAGCTCGACCTAGCTGGGGAAGTGTGACCTTTGAGGCAGCAGGCAGCCGAATCAGGCGATGGTGTAGAGAGGTCCTCCCAGGAAGCGACGACCTTTCATGTCGCTACAAGGATGACACCCAGACTCAACCTGAGGGGAGGGGGAGACTGTGGCGCTGTCAGCAGTTAAAGAAAACCTGTCAGATTTGGAGATGGTGGATTTGGTTCCAATAAGAAGTAGTTCAGTTTTATTACCGTTGAGTTTGACGAAATTAGAGGTGAACCAAGATTTGATTTCTGAGAGGCAGAGGGTAAGGGAGGAGGGTGGGACAGTGGAGTTAGGTTTACTACAATAGACTACAATAGAGTCACTTCCCGCTTCCTGTTCCGCGTGGTGTTGTGACTATCGCGCAACTTTCCAAGAAGTGCCCAGTAACGTGCCCTGTGTGACCACCTGACTTCTCAAAATCGCCTCCGGTGTGCCCCAGGTTTAACTCTAAGTTTTTAACAAAATCGTTCAAATTTTTTTGCATCGATTCCCAGACTGCTGACAGGAATCCTCGGCCGATCTGCAAAGTCTGATCTGAATTTCAGAGCCAATCCCACCAGCTGTCTGCCGCTCCTACCCTGCAGCTGCGGAGAGCCTCATTGGTTATGCTGCAAGTCTTTTTGTTTCTTTGTTGAATACATGTTTCTGTCTAAATGAAGGTGATGTCATTGGTCATAGAATTAAATTTCATGTTGAAGTTCAGATTATTTAATCAAGTAAGACCTGCTGGCTCATTTAAAACATGATGTTTTTTGTATCCTGCCACTTCAGAAGAATCGGAATCAAGAATCGATAGGAACCATAATCAAAAAGAGGAATCGGAATCATTCAGATTCAAACGAGGCCCAACCCCACTCCTCTGCATCAAAGGGTGTCAGGTGGCTCAGGCTCCTGGTTGCTTCCCTCTGGAGAACCTCTGTAGACCCGCAGGC